GGGAATCTTTTATTGCTATTGATATATTATATTTTTCCATACATCGTCAAGTTTAATTATCATCTCCCAGTTTAATTTTAGTTGATGTAATCTATTAAATAATATTCTATAGGGTTAATCCGAAATCTCAATAATAATTTGAACATGGATAATCTTTGTTCCACTATATCCTTAACATCTAATATTTTTGGGCACCTTTACATATAAATTAAAGAATGGAAAATTATATTTTAAATGGGTTAACTATACATTTATAAAATTAATTAAATATTTTTATTTTAATGGTTCAATTAGAATGTAATACTAATCACATATAAAGTATTTCATTTTTAACTTTCCAATAATTTTGATTATCTCTTTATTGTTGTTGTGTTCTATATTTCAGATTGATAAATTAATCTACATTAATACTTTCAATTTCAAACATATTTATTCTTTTTGAACATACCATAATTCTGCATCAACTATGGTATCCTTAATAAATCATTTAAAAATAATCAAAAAGGGATCTAATTTTTATGAATCAACTTGTTTGAATTTATTCCTTAAAGGAAAGGAAACTTTGCTTTTTAAATATATCTTATAGTTATAAGGACCTTCTTTTAAAGCTCACTAACAGGCCCATCAACTTTTACTGCTGATTGTGACAGAATATAAGCCAAGTTTTGTGCTCATTTCACTCTTTGTTTATAATACTGACGCTAGATGTTAAATAGTCATTTTTATTGGTGAGTGCTAATTTTATAATTCAAATTTTATTTTGAATTTTGAACTATTGTAATATTATTGAAATTAATCGAATCTTGATTAATAATTTATTTATTGATTCTACTATTCGAATATTTTATTTATACTTTAATTTTTAGAATTGAAAAAAATGAATTAAGATTATGATTTTATTCCTCCTTTTCACTCAATAATAAATTTTTTTCAAATAATTATTAAACTTGAATTTAAACCTAATAAATTCATGCCTCTGTGCATAAAATCATAAAATACATAAAATAACTTTATATTGTATCTATTTTCTCATAGTTTTATTTTATTTTTGCATCCATTTCTATTTCTATTTTTCAACAAAGCATAAATAAATCGAAAAGGATTTTCAAGAAATTTTTTTAAGTTTAATAATAAAATATTTATTTTAAAAGAACAATAGAATTTTATCACTCTAATCATTCATAAGGCTTAAGTATACTATAAGTTATGAGATAATGAATAAATTATTATTAGTATTTATTTTAAATTTGGTTGATAAAATATATTCATTTGATATACAACATTCAAAATAATTATATTTTATAATAATATATTTGAGTTTAGATTTTTGAGAGGAAATCTACAATTTGAAATCACTAAATTTCTAAACACATAAATTTTTTTCACTATAAAAAATTGAATGATTAGAGACTAGAATATTAAATATTATTTAGAAAGAATATAAATTGGATGACTTAAGTATAGTTGTTAAACTAATAATATGGTTAAAGGATAATATATGTAATTTTATGTTATATCTATAAAAATATGATCAATATATATTTTATAATTAAAATTTAGAATGAAAAAGATATACTATATTTTTTAATTCGAAAATTTAATATGGGAAATTCAAAACCTGGAAATTTTAAACCTGTTTACCATTTCTATAACTCTGAGGAGTATAATCATTCATATTGCCATGCTATTAATCATGATAACACTATTCTTTTAATAGTAGATTTACATACTAAAGAAATCCATGCATTAGGAATTTTACGAAGACCAGAAGACAATACTGAGAAATAACCAGAAAATGAATAGGACAAGGAGGACTTTGAATTAAACGAAAAGGCTTTGAAAAAAATTTCCATAATCCAAGGGAATTTAGGGGATGTTAAAGCTCTTTAGTTTTTTGAAATCGGACAAATATAAAAACTCATTTATTTCTGGTTCTGGTTTTGCACTTTGTTATTTTGTTCCATATAATTAATCATAACCTGAATTTTGGATCGAGAAATTCAGAATTCCATGGGTTTAAGCTGATTTTAATACATTTGAAATTAGTTCTTATGAAAATTTTATGGTAACTGGCGATAATGAAAATGTTAAATTTTGGAGTTTTGAAAATTTTCTTTAGTTTTTGAAATCGGACAAATATAAAAACTCATTTATTTCTGGTTCTGGTTTTGCACTTTGTTTTTTTGTTCCATATAATTAATCATAACCTGAATTTTGGATCGAGAAATTCAGAATTCCGTGGGTTTAAGCTGATTTTAATACATTTGAAATTAGTTCTTATGAAAATTTTATGGTAACTGGTGATAATGAAAATGTTAAATTTTGGAGTTTTGAAAATTAGTTTGTTTGTCAATAAATTATAGCTTAACATGAATCGAGTATTCAGGCTTTATCAATTAATCCAGATGAAAATTCTGTGATTTCAATTGCATTAAAGGATCATTATATAAATGTTATGGCGATATCAGATAAACAAATATGGTATGTTAAATAAGTTATATAATCTCCTGATGTATTACAAAAAATATGTTTTATCACTAATTAAATATTTGTTGCTCAATTAGGGTAAGGATATTAAGCAACAAAGGATATATAATTATTTAAAATAAATACTGCTGAAAAATTTTATATGTTTAACAAAATTCCAATAAAAGGAAAAGGAGAAAATTGGTATTTTAGTTTTTAAACAGTTTATAATCCTATAAAATAAATTCTTATTCTTCAAAATGGTAAGTAATTAAATATCATTCGGTTTACTAACTTAAATACTTAGTTTAAATCAAATTAAGGTTATTTCGAATGTAATATGGTTTTAAAACTACAACTATTTATGGAACATTAAGTTATGATGGAGAGTTTCTAATAACTTGGGATGACAAATCTAATAGAATTAAAATAAGAATATATAATCATGAAGATGAATAAGAATAATATTATAAATATTGAAAATATTGATGTTTAAAAATTATATTTTTTGATTTATTTCTTTCTTGAATTTAAAGGATGAAGCAAATAATAAATATTAACTATATTACTTTGTTAAACTTATTTGAGTTAAATTTTCAATTTTATAATTTTTTTATTATTATGATAATATCGATTATAGGAAAATAAATAAATAAAAGTTAGTTATTTTATTAAAATCTGGTAAAATTCAAAAATGCTTATAGTTTTATTAGGTGTAGTTTTAAATATATAATTTTAGCATAAGCTGATTAAAATGATGATCTTTCAGATTATCAATATTAAACTTCATTAAATAATAATAATAAAAATTATGTTATGTTATTTTAATTTTAATTTTATTTATTTATTTTATGAAGTTTTAAAGTAAATTAATTTAATTTGCATTTTTTTCTTACAATACTGCTCAAAATCGATAAGATTCATGGTTTATTAATTTTCTTTAATTAAAAACAAGAAATATACAATAGATTTGTAAATTTAATAATATATATACATAAAATATATATTATAATGTAAATAATAATTAAAATCTTATGTTTTTATTCAGGATACTCAGCAATTTATTATGAGGAGGGCTTCTTCGCAGATTTAGAGTGAAATACTACTTTTAATTGTCAGAACTCTTTTTCAAATACATATATACTATATACTTATTGTTAATATACCTTAAGTATTTTTACATCTACAACATATTAATACACCTACTTGATAATCAGAATTTCAAGTTTCAATATCTAGTATTACACTAATTAGTATATATATATCTTTAGATATTTAGATATTTAGATTGTAAAATTTATTTTATTTGTCCAAGACCTTGATTGATATGGTCTATAAGATTTGCATGGATTGCTGTTGATGAGTAAAGAATTTAATTGATTAATTCTTTTAATATGATTCCATCAAATGATAAGACTTTTAATCATTAATTACTTAATGCTGATGTTGGGTTATTTTTGATAAATAGATTTTTAAATTTCAGTATATATACCAAAGGATAGGGTTTCTGTAGGAATAACAAAAGTAAATGGGGAAATTTACAAATTCATTATAAATAGGTTACCGAATTTTATTGACTAATTAAAAAAATATTATTCAATTTGAACTTCTTACTTTTATACCTGACTTTACTAAAGGAGGAATCAATTTAGCATCAAATCAATTTTTTTTACTTCGATTTTAAGGTAAGATTTTCTTAATAAAATAATTGTATTCTTTTTTTTTTGAATCAATCTCTTTTTAAATCTTTAAATATATAAATAAAATATAATTTATTATCTTTCTTGTAATTTTAATCCAAACTAACATTCTTAACTATTAATAGGTTTAAACTAAAAATAATATTGTGTTACAAATGTTATTAGTTGTTATTGTATCAAATTTTGAAAAATGAATTATTTTTTAACCAAAAAACAATATTAAATTTATTGGCATATTTCTCAGAAAATTAGCTAGATAAAATGCTCAGCCTTCCTTACCTGATCGAAATGATATGATACTCGTTCATCTTCTTGCCTTATCAAAGATCACCCATATCCTCTTATTAGTATATATGTATAATATCATTTATTCTTTCTATTGCTTCCATTAGAGATTAATACATTGCTTCACCATCTTATGACAATTCTAAAATTGCTCTGTCCAATTTATTTATTATTAACACATGCTTAATCTTCTCTTTCATAATTACTTATAAAGTAGATTATATTTGTGAACAAATTCCCTTAACATCATTAAATACTATTAAGACACCATCTTTAATTCCTAAACTTGTTAAAGAGATATAACAATTGTGAGATTTAGGAGAATCAATTAAATTTAATATAAAAGATTCCATTCTACCATTCAATTATTTATCATATTTGTAATATAGTAATAAATTAGCACATTTATTTATCATTATTTCTTATTGAGACTAATCCATTAAATCAATGCCAGCTTTATGAACCAGTTGATCTATTAGAGTCTATTTTCCATGGCCTGTTTGGCTAATCACTGATATATTTCTAATATTGCTTTGATTTTCCATCTGCTCCACTAATTGATTATAAAATATATTAGCCATTTTATTGTAAATAATATTTATATTTTATTATATATTTAAAATTATTTTCATATTGATAAATATTAGAATAATATTTTAAATATATTATATAATGCTATATATTCTATATAATTTATCCTGGTCATTTTTATAAAGCCTATGTGATTGATATTCGTATTTTAAATGAATTATTTATAATTTTAACATTAATTATTTTAATTG